CAAACCCGTCAAACCCGTCAAACCCGTCAAACCCGTCAAACCCGTCAAACCCGTCAAACCCGTCAAATCCGTCAAATCCGTCAAACTCCTCAGCTATCGTCGATCATAGTCTTTTTTCTTTACCTACTTCTGGAAAGTGTCTGTACATACAATGTATAGGTTACATACATCAATAGTATACATCCGTACATCCGTACATCAATAGTTACAATCATAGTGCGATAAAAATGTGTTCTGTACGATCTCTCAAATGTGACGCGTAAACTGGCCTTGACACGATTTTGTCTTCAGCAAACAAAATAATGTTGATATGGGATGTGGAGATGAGCTCTCTTGAGCATAATGTCAACTAATAACATATTCGTTGGAAACATTCCTATATTTTAAACAAAGCCGTCGTGTGACATAAGGTAACGACAATCGTCTGAAGTGGGAACGTAAAGGCCAAAGACGAGGCGATTGTATTGTATAATTTACACCATTATGTAAGCCTGTAAAGATGCAGTTGTGCATAAGTCAAAGAGTAGAAATATATTACATACGAACCATTACAAGTTCTATTAATGCTCCAGAAAGCACTATTGGTATGTAGATAACTGAGATGGACAAAGTAATTTCAGAGAGATATCAATTTGAATTTCTTTCTGTTGAGGAAGCCTTTTTCAGTTAAAACGTTAATTTTAAAAGTCTTAGAGCTGCAATGGTAATTCCCACGAATGAAATATATTTTTTTTGTTTTGAAAAATTTGTTTTAAGACACATGAATTCTTTTTTGTTTCAGGTTGAAATCCTGATAAGAATTAATTTGCAACAGAAAATTAGTGTAAATCTCAAAAAAGTAGTCGTAGTGGAAGTCTCAAAAAAACATATAGTATCATATACAGTCATATACAGTAAAATTTTATACAAGAGGTAAAAAGGTAAGCTTTTTGCCACTCGTATAAATTTTTACTGTTAAATTTACAAAGAAAAGCAAAAAACAATTTTATTGCTAAAACATATTTGACGTAACTTCGAGGCAGTAATTAGCTATTTTATCGTCGATGTAAGAAGATCGGTTGAAAATCTCTAAGGAAAATGTTTTTGGGAAACACGATTGAGCGCATGAAGAACGCAAATAGAACAAAATTATGATATAATATTCACGCTATAAAACTGCACATAATAATCTTATTCCACTGTCAACAGATACCTCTCCCTGCATTTTTTACTTTAACCCGAAGTATTCAACAAACCTAATTTCAAAGCTCCTGTTCCATGTTAAATGGTCGCTGTTTCTCAAAACGTCAATAGGTTTGTCATCACCATTAGTTTTCTATCAATTTTCTTGATTTGTAAGTTCTGAAACTGGCGGGTACTGCGCTCATCAAAGTCAACTTTTTGGGTCAGGTCTTTTTTCGTTCGTTCGATCTCTCTTCGGGACTTTTTGAGTAAACAAAATTTATTTTACTTTAATATTTTTATTCGTCATTAAAGGTATTACTCACATTCCTCTTCAAATATCACGTCTACGGGTAAGATTTCTGCTGAACGGAAGCAGTGTTGGCTTCACCGTACAAACCACGATTCAAAGTGGAAAATGCGTTTCCCCTGCGCAGAGACTTGGCGCTAGCTGCTCGGAACGCGCGGACTGCGCGGGTGGCGTCGGTTTGCGGGGATGGGGAGTGGGCGGTGGGACAGAGAGGGGGGGCGGCGACCGCTTCCGCCCAATTAGCGCTGCGAGAGGCCTCCGCACAAAAGCGCGCGTCTATTCAAGCAGCCCTCACCATACCTCACCTCGCCTTCCCTCCACTCTCCCCGGCCGCTCACCAGCCTACCTCCCCGCTCGCTGCCACGGTGTTCCGCTCAAACACGGACGGGCAGGCAGGTACACCGAGTCGACTCATTTACACATCACCCACAGCCTTTCCCTTTCGGTAAATCTACTCGATATTCATCTGTACTAATTAAAGAAGAAATGTTTCGCAAATACATTCAACATCAACCAAATTCTCCATTAGGGCCTGCGTCCACCTCCTCAAATCCATCATTACATCACTGTCTCTCTCATTAACCTCTTTTTCGTTATGTAATATTTTCTGTTACTGTCTGCTGTGTCCACGCATCAGCACAAGCATATCCTTATACGTTCAGTTCAGCATCCTGTTTAATTGAAGCAATTGCATTGCCGCACCCTAATCACTCTGGTCACAAACATATACAATTAACATCACAATGATTATACTCGCTCATGCGTATTACAGAACTTCAGAACACCACGTTTGACAAATTGTTCACCGTCGTAGATCCACTGCTGTTCGTAGTCCTCTCGAAAATTCTTTCACTAATCCCATACCCCTCTCCATTCTCGCCACATACACACACCTCGCCACAAACACACACACATACACACCTCGCCACAAACACACACACATACACACCTCGCCACAAACACACACACACACATACACACACACCTCGCCACAAACACACACACATACACATACACACACCTCGCCACAAACACACACATACACATACACACACACCTCGC